ACTCAAAAGTATCGCGCCTTTACATAAAAGCGACATACGTTTAATTGTCACATATATAATTTAGTTGGTTTTTTTAATGACATATTTTAGTAATTTTTTTTTTTAATGAAATGTCCTTTATATATAAATTTGTAAATTGACGATTGGGACTATATGCCTCGTAATGGAAATTTAACATGTTTCATTTTAATATCAAATTATCTTTTTATTAAATTGATGAGATTTTTTGAACAGCGGCGGCAAATTATCACGATTAGGGGTGACAAATCGTAAAAAATGTGACTAGGTGTGGCAAATTGTTGCGATTAGGGGTGATAAATCGTGTTATTTTGGTATTTCACTATCATTATTTATATTATCAAACATTTCATTTGTTCATAAATACAATGAAACACGACTTTCAATTAAGCTTCTTTGTTTCTTACTTTTTGTGTTAGGTATCTTGTCATGCAATACCCATCGTGTTATGTCTTTATACTCATATCTTTCGACCATGCCGTGTTTGATATAAATATTCAGTTGGTATCGTGTTACCCCCTAATCATTGTTCCCCAAAACTTCAATTTCGGTTGAACTTTTTTATTTCTTACCTTTTGTGTTAGGTATCTTGTCGTGCATACTCATTGTGCCATGTCTTTATACTCATATCTTTCTATCGTGTCGTGTTTGGTATAAATATTCAGTTGATATCGTGTTACTCCTTAATTGTTATCAATATTAAACTAATATTTTTGTTTGTTCCCCACTAATTGTTATCGATATCTATGTTGAACGAGATTCAGGCCGTGCACTGGTTATTTTGCTACGTCTTTGTACTCGCATTTCATAATTGTGTCGTGCGTGTTCGTTTTTCGTATCGTATCAACCATTGCTACCTTCAATCGTCATCATTATCTATGTCGAAGAAGACTTAATAGATATATCATTTTTCGTGTTGTATCAACTATCAACCATTGACAACTCCAATCACTGACCTTCACAATATAGAAACCAAAATGTCAGTCTCATTCATGTATACAAAACCTATTATCAACCACAAGAAAAGAGTTGCACTTTCACATCCCTTAAAAAGATAAAGAGGAATATAAATAAATAGTCAACTCTTTTTTCATAATTGTGGTTGATCATCACTCCAGCTTGACTTGTACATTTTTCTATTCTTTAAATAAATAAATTGTTTAGTTTTTTTTTAAAGATTAAATAAATAATCTGCCTCAAATTAGGTATGAATGCTAAGCAAACTAGTCATAAAAGCTCCTTTCACATTCATTAAACAAGCAAAAGCACCATAGACAAATCAAATTAGGTATTTATTAATTCTTGATGTAGTTATTTTTCTCCCTCACAAAATAAATCTAGCAGTGTCCTAAAAGCACAACATTTTCTCATCTTCCC